TTGTTCTCCCATCTAAGACACAGAAAACGAGAAAGAATAGAGAAGAGAGAGAGAGAAAGGTGCCATTTCTTATTCTTTTCTTTCTAACTCCCCCTCTCTCTCTCTCACTCAATGTTTTATATTGCACTTTCTCTCTCATCCATACTTCTGATCAGTGTTGACAAGAAGGAGAGAAGGTTTGTTTAGATTTGCCTCATTGAACAAAACGGAATTCTCAAAGCAAATTAGACTCATGGGACACTACCGACGTGACTTAGCAAACGTCAACATCAGACCAGACAGCGTGTCTGTTGTGTCTCTCATCGTCAAGGTCGTCAATCACACCTACTCCTGACAGAATCAATTGAATATCTTCAAACGAAAGAAGACCGCTACGCTTGCTTATACACACATATATGTATACATCGAGATGAAGCGTTAATCTCCGTTCAGACGCGTGTTCATCATTGATCTTTGATGTGAAATGCTTCTTGTCTCTTGCTTTTTACCGTAAAATCAAACAAAAACAAATCGAACATACGCGATCAAATGTTTAATCTCAAAAAATCATTTCGTATTCATATGTTCAGTGATCACATAAAAAAACTTCATGAGGAATATCTTGTTCGATTTCCTCAGGGGTAAAATAAAGAAGAGAAACTTTAGTAAGAATGTTCAAGTAGTAACAGCAGGTGATGAGCGAAAAAAAAACCTATGTAGACGAAGTTCACTGTTGGGCGCCAAATCGAAAGAGCAATTAGATACTTTATTTCCAATAATGGATATGGATGAACAACAATCGAGAGTAACAAATGAGATTGTTAAACTCATACTTAATTCGAAATCATCAGCATCAGCGTCAACGACTATAAATCCAATCGAAGTTGAAATTCAAATGCCTGTTCAGTTACACAAAGTGTATATGTACGAAGCAGAAACTCAAACAACATCGAATGAAATTTCAGATTGTTTGAGTAAAGAAGCAGGTGACGAAGCTCGTTTAACTGGTTCAAATAAATACGCTCTATTATCATTGGATGAATATCAAATAATGCGTACAGGTGAAGAACATTGTTTAAAAAAATACTTTTCCGATGATGATCTCAGTCAATCGAACGACGAAGAAGAAATAGATATTGCCAAACAAATGAAACAAATAACATTCGATGAGAACAAAGATAGAACAGGTTAGTTGTGAGTAACGAGAGAGAGAAAAAAGTAATTATTGTTTAGCAATCTGGAAAGAAAATTTCTCTTCATTGACTTCCTTTCTCTTTCAATTCGTAAATCTTCAGTTGGAATGGAAAATTTCAATAATAATGCTTCAACTGTTCTACACACATCACCTTCCGAACTTTCTAATACGTTCTTGTTGGATGACACAACACACCTGTCTGCAACTTTAGCTCAATCAACATCGTCACAAATTTCACACAGTCGTTTTTTGCCAACTTGCAAAGAGAAATCTGATGAGAAACTAAAAATACGTTCTTCTTCGAAATCCAAAAGAAAGATCTCATCTATTCGATTGTTTGTTCGTCAAGCGATCGATTCTTGTCGGGAAAATTTATCTCTAGTTAATCACTTACTTGAACATATTCCATCCACATCATTCAATGACCTTGAACATGGCAAACTCTATCAAAAATCGAACTGTACTCTTAATCTCTCGAATTCAATCAAAGGACTTCGATTTTATCCATCGTCTAGTGTTCAAACTGAATAATAGAAAATTCAAATGATTATATGACAGTTTTATCTTCTCCACCTTCCCAATCTTGATGACATGTCCATCATTTGAGGTATACATCTACATGCCTACTAGCGGTCACGCTATGTGGAAAAAGAATTCATTAGACAAAAAAACAACACACACACACACACACCGAGATGAACGAGCACTTGAACATTTTTAATCACTAGATTATAATGACAAGCAACCATAAAAGTTTTTTTAAGATGAGATCAATCAATAGGAGGTAGTAATCATTAACATGTAAGTCGACATTGTCAACCTATTGTTTCCTTTTTTTCTTGCTACTATATACACAAGGAGAGGGAGAAGAAAAAGTGTTGCACTGCGCGCTGTCAATGTGTCGTTGCGATCAGGAGGTCATTAAATAAATGCATGTTCATTCGGCGGAAAAGCCATCAGCATCAGCATGACTTGAGTGTGTTGAAAAAAGAAAGAATGAATGAATGCGATGAACGATGGCAATGTCATCAACACCGCGCGGTAGACAACCTTTCAGTCGACAATGGGAGTGGCACTTCAATCAATTTTTCTCTTGAAGGACAAACATCATTGTTCGAATTAAACATTATTCATTTATTTGACATGTCCAACAGTGTCTGCGTTGGAAATTAGAAAGTATAACCCCTGACTTGATACTATTATTAACTTATTCTTCTCGTATAATTGCAAATTATGTAACAAAATCAGCTTAACTGTCTCTGTCGAGCATCCAATTCGCTTATAAGTCGAGATTTGTTTTTAAGTCGTTTTTACGCTAGACAAACGTGGACAATGAAAATGAAGTTCTATTAGAAAGATATCGATCATGAAACAAAATCGAATGTGCACTGGCAGCTGCATTCATCTCATTGCAGAACATTGAACCTTAAGGCGTTATTTGTATTATCGGAATGATTGCCGTTGTTGATAAAGGGAAAAACAAATGTTGAACGAAAAAAATTCGATCGAAGCATAGTCATGCATGTTTTGTGCTTTGATTGATTAAATGACAAATATTTGCTTTCTTGTTCGATTTCAAAGCGTAAGAATGAGTTATCAGTAATCTCTATTCAACGAAAAACAATCTCAGACGTTCGAAAATTTCAAGAGTACTCGCTCGTAATCGCTTTTAATACTCAACATTGATTCAGACTTTTTCACTTTCAAAGTAGTCTCATCTGATTAACAATAAAAAAATCAATCTTCGTTTAACTTAAAGGATAGTTGATCTTTCACAGACATCATCATAACCTGAGTAGATACTTTTGTTGTCATTTCTGATACTTGGAAATAATAGAAAAAAGCTATTTTCATTCCATTCATAAGAGAGCACGCTACGAAGTTTTGAACTTCCGTATTTGCTGAGTGATATATTTATGAAAAAAGTTTCTATTTATTTCGAAGAAACTCATCAGAAAAGTTTAACACTACAAAGGGCTAATTTTCATTTTCTCTCAACTCTAAAGTCATCTTCTACGATCAATTACAGCTAAGGTCAAGCTATGTGTTATAAAACAAAATTAACTTTAATTGCGCTAGTCCTTTCATATAAAAAGAAGTTAATATACTACTGATTTATACAGCTTTTCTTTCTCTATTAACACATCTGATCAACGTGAGAATATCTATGACTTCTTGAACTAATATAAGATGAAAATTAAATTGTACCATTGCCATAGTGGCCTTGTTGATCATGCGCGAAACGGTGGATCCATATGCAATACGTAGTTGCGCTGTATTAAGAAGATTACTGCAACATCTATGTGAATCGAAAATGTTTGCAATAGATATTGGTGAGCATTTCGTTGCTATGTTGAATGTTTATATTCATTATAGTTTCAGTTCTATTAAGTTTTGTGAAAGTTTGATTGGTGTCGTTTTGGCAATGATCGATGAAAATTGCAAAATATTAACCTCATTCAGAATTTATCTGCTATTGATTCTGATGACTAGATCAGAGCGAATTTTAACTTTATCAGATTCATATTCAATAAGTATGGATAACAAACAGATTGGTAATATGTTACCACTAATATCTAATGAGAATCACGTACAAACGAAGAGAAGTCTTGGCAAAGATCGACTGAATGCTGCTCATCTGCGTCGCACACGTAAAGGTATGGTTGAAATAGTTGTCATCGTTGGTGTTGGCCTTGTCATTTTGGTTGGACTGGGTGGCACCATCGGTATCATTATATATTATGCTAAGAAATAATTAGTGAGTTGTTTTAGTCTATGTGATGATTTCGTTAAAAGTGTCTACTTTATGTGAAGATGATTGTTAAATGATCCTTTACAAAAATACGAAATAAATTTTTATTGAAATAATGCTCTGGTTTTATGTGTAGATGGAAAGAACCATGTACTGAAATGAAAATCAGTTGCATCGTCGGAGAGATACTTATTTGATAGTGCTACGATTGTTTTAGTGTCTCCCTCAGGCAGCAGTAGTCACAAATTTTGTTAGTTAATACATGTAATATATTAATAGAATATTTGTCAAGAAATTATCAGATAAATTTGTATACAAAAAAAAGACAGATACTAATTAGTCGTCATTGCTATCATCATCATCATCATCATATTACAGTGATTATTGTTTCAAGATTAGTTAGTACCTTGTCCACGCCTTTTCCCAGTATCTTACCTACACCTCGTCCAATACCTTGGTTTTCACTTCGTCCAACACCCTGACGATCATCTCTTCCAGTGCTTTGGTCTTCACCCCGTTCAATACCTTGACGATCACCTCTTCCAGTACTTTGACCGTCGGTTCGTCCAACACCTTGACGATCACTTTGTCCAGTACTTTGGTCTTCATCCCGTCCAACACCTTTACGATTATCTCTTCCAGTACCTTGACCGTCGGTTCGTCCAACACCCTGACGATCATCTCTTCCAGTGCTTTGGTCTTCACCCCGTTCAATACCTTGACGATCACCTCTTCCAGTACTTTGACCGTCGGTTCGTCCAACACCTTGACGATCACTTTGTCCAGTACTTTGGTCTTCATCCCGTCCAACACCTTTACGATTATTTCTTCCAGTACCTTGACCGTCGGTTCGTCCAACACCTTGACGATCATCTCTTCCAGTGCTTTGGTCTTCATCCCGTCCAACACCTTTACGATTATCTCTACCAGTACCTTGACCGTCGGTTCGTCCAACACCTTGACGATCATCTCTTCCAGTGCTTTGGTCTTCATCCCGTCCAACACCTTTACGATTATCTCTTCCAGTACCTTGACCGTCGGTTCGTCCAACGCCTTTACGACCACCTTGTCCAGTACCTTGACCGTCGGTTCGTCCAACACCTTGACGATCACTTTGCCCAGTACTTTGGTCTTCATCCCGTCCAACACCTTTACGATTATCTCTTCCAGTACTTTGACCGTCGGTTCGTCCAACACCCTGACGATCATCTCTTCCAGTGCTTTGGTCTTCATCCCGTCCAACACCTTTACGATCACCTCTTCCAGTACCTTGACCGTCGGTTCGTCCAACACCTTTACGGCCACCTTGCCCAGTACCTTGGTCTTCACCCCGTTCAATACCTTCTTGATTATCTTCTGATGCATGAGATGAGGATTGATCATGCGGAAAGAAGTTGCGATTCTATACGATGAGAGATTTTATTATCATTGGGATATAATAGTTGGCATTGCTTTACCGGTGTATCACGATCTGGACCAAATCGGTGTCGACCACCCTAAAAAATTGTACATCGTTGCATATTATGAAGTATTATAAGAATTTGCATGTATGTGATAGAAAGGTCTTTCTTCTGAGTTTTGTGTACGACATGGAACTACTCACCTCACCATGATGATCAAAATATAAGTCATCATCACGCCAGCGACGATGACCAGGCGCAGGATGAAATTTTGAAAAACGATAAGGATCACAGCAGCGGCCAAATCTATCCACACAACAACCTCGTATTATACTTCTTCGAATACAACACTCATCGCCAGGAAATGAATGTGATAAAATAACACCTGGTAGAATTGCGAAAGAAATAAGTGTTCATATAGATATATAATGAACAAATTTGTGATACAGACTTGGCAAGAAAATGAATGCAAATACGAAGCAGAAGGTCATCTCAGACATTTCTTTGATACAACTACTGAATAGAAATGACTATATGTAAATTCATGCAATAATACTGGTTTATATACTGCTGAGAAAAGAAGAATAGCGACGCATCGACACCAATAGAACCAATATACAATCGAGGTATTTGTGTACCGGTGTAAATCACTTGATTTAAAACACGTCAGTCGAATACATAATCTTCCATTCTATTCTATTCTATTCAAATTCTTTCAATGACGTATACGCGATAATACTGTTATTTAGATGTTCTAGACAAGTGACATTCAAATTCGAAGACGACGCTGACTAATTGTTTTCTTCTTCACTAGAGAGCAAGAAAGAAGAAAAAATCAATGATGTTTAACGTAGCATAGTGAATCATTGTTGGTGTCTAGAATCTTTTGAGACGCATACCAATATAATGATAAAGCCGTATACTTGATTGCCAACGTGATAACTGGAATCCTTAAATTTTATCGACGCTATCGAAATTAGTCATCTCATTATAGGGTTGCGATCGAGAATACTCAGAAATAGACTCTATGTACTAAACAAGTTTACTATTAGAAAAGTTTTGCGAGTCAATTGCCTAGTTAAATGAAGTTAAAAATCTAGAATTGTGTTGATTTTTATTAAAATATAACATTACTATTGAGTTTGCATTAGAATTTTAAAGAGATTATAAACATATGAATGTTGAACGTCTGTTAACGACCATGACGTCTACCACCTCCATGATGGAAACCGCCGCCTCCTCTGTGAAAACCGCCGCCTCCTCGATGAAAACCGCCGCCTCCTCGATGAAAACCGCCACCCCCTCGGTGAAAACCGCCGCCTCCTCGGTGAAAACCGCCACCCCCTCGGTGAAAACCGCCACCCCCTCGGTGAAAACCACCGCCATGGTTCCAGCCACCACCACGATGCCAACCATTGCCACGGTTCCAACCGCCACCACGATACCAACCACCGTCATGGTTCCAACCACCACCCCAACTCTAAACAGAAAACGCCGTGTTTATATCGATAAAACAATAGTTTCATATCGTTCATAAAATAACGACACATAGGATGACTTACTCGTCCCCATCCGCCAACAGGGTAATAGCCGCCTCCACCATAATAGTAGTTAGTTGAATAATAGCTGACATCGGGAACAGCGTCTACACAGCATTGAAAGTAGGCATTCATGCAGCAAGTGCCATCGCTACTCCACGTAACGCAGCATCCATCACCAGGATAGGTTGCTTGGACAAAATCTACGTAAATGAATATTAATGTTGTTTGATTATGGTTCATGAAAAACTTACTTAACACAATAATAGCGAGGAAAGTGGAGTAAAGAAGGATTGAAGTCATTTCTTCAAACGTTTAGAAATGCCTATGAAATTGATTTTACGATCACAATTATTTATATAACACTAACATCTAGTGTACAGAAAGAAATGTTTAAAATGTACAATTATCCAGTATATCTCGTCTATGTTAAATGTACACAGACATCGACAGAACGAACAAAGAGTATGAACAATGACGATCGCATCACTGATATCTTGATTTGTATTTTCGACAGTCCGATCAATCATTTCTTTTCCGGTGGTAAATAATTCTTTGAAATAAAATATCTGATTAAAACTGACTGACAAACAGAAGAATGGCGCAATGTTCAAACCATTGACTTGCATTGCATTGCATTGTAAATTTCATGTGTCATTTCGTGCTAATTCCACTTCTTTATTCAAATCGTCCGATTATTCGTCTTAGTTTGATCTTATTCTGTGACAGTTATCGTCGTCTTTTTCAGTTTGTCAATGATGTCCATGGAGTAAATTACACGATGAGATTAATCTAATTTCATAAAATTTCTCTTGAAGATTGCTTTTATTACCAATCATACAGAAAAAATCTCGTCAAAGCTAAAAGCAAATGACGAAATCATTATTGCCGGTGTATTTATTAAGCCCGTGTAAGCGAATTTTTCATGAGTACGTCGGTTGCTCAGACTTTCATTTTTGCCCTCAACTAGTGTTCCCTGAGACTTGACTAAAACGTAATCGAAGTTCATTCTAGGATGTATGTTGATCTACTGGAAGACGAGGAAAACATTCCATTCCATCTTAAAATCGTCGACAATATGATTACCTATAACAATAAGAGAAGAACTGTTTGGTTCAATGAAGTACAAGTACTCTCCAAAATACTTGTTAATTCATCATTTCTCATCACTATTTTTCTCACTGCACGCGATGTGTTCAATGTAAAGCATTCAATTTCCAAATGTCATTTGTATTCACGTTTGCATTATATATTTCTAGGTAACTTTCAACGGACAAGTACTTTTTCACATAAATAAACGTGCGTCGATGTCCAATGCGAGTCAATTTCGTATCTATGGAAATATTACACTCAGGTTAGCCAGAGTGATTCATGCACAAGAAGAGAGTAAGTGTACAAGTTGACATCTCACGTTAATTTTCGTAGCATCAAACAAATGCTTTGTTCTTCTTGATAGAAGATAATTCAATGAAGATTACAATCATTATTGGTATAGTTATTACATCAACTTTAATCATTATTACCGGACTGGGAGTTTTCTTGATATTACGACGACATAGTTCGAATTCCAAAGCGAAAGACAGATCAACCAATGACGAAGACTCCGTCATCGAAAGTCTAGGAAGTTTTCGAAGTGAAAAACAAGATCAATCGCATGTGACATATTTAGCAAGCAATGCATTTCTTTCTTAGAAAAAAAAAACACGAATAAAATTCCTTCACATCGTTGCCTTGTCTGAGACATCGGGAGAAGCAGAATCTTACAGTTGACAAAGTCGAAGTTGAAATAAACAAACACCGCTGATAGCTAAGTTTAGTTTTCTATCTATTTACTCAGCGCCATCTATCTGAGAACAATCTAATTATTTCAATGGTATTAACAGTTATTCAATCAGCTTGCAGCTATGAAATCGGCCATTCATTCGTTCTTTTGCTCCGTTATTAGACTTATTCTTGTATTGATATCTTCAGAGAAAACTAAATGAACTGATATCAAAGAAATCAATGGATAAACTAAGTAAATCACTTGAGGTCCTCAAACTACTTTCCAATACAACAACAGAACAATTGACCGCAAGCAATGATAAGTACGAGACACTATTTGTCTGTTTATTTACATCTCTATTATCTCTTCAACAGAGCTCGACTAGATCCTGTATCAATAAGCAAAGATAAGATTCATCATTTGAACACCGTCACTAATCTTCTATGTTCATCAACATTGACGAGGTAAATCAATTTGTGTTTCGAGCATTTTCTTTCTGTTATCATGATTTTCTTTCAGAAGTAACAATGAAAACTATTTCAAATTGTTAACAGCAAGTGTAGAAACACTATTCATGCATTGTGATGAAACTGATCACGATGTGCGATTAGCTGCTGAAGAAAATATCAATAAACTCATTAAGGTAAAGATTTTTCTTGAATATAATCATCGATTGTCTATTTCATGTGATGAATAGAATTTGAAAGAGACACATTTGCCACGAGTGCAGGTGGAATTACATCGAATTATCAAACGAAACCCTAATGTTGGACCACGAGCTCTCAAAGGTCAGTGAATTATTTCGTTTGATTCATCTGATGATCATTGCTTTTCGTTGTGAATATTTATTCAGGTGCTTTGTGGAGATTTGCAGAGTTAGCAAATGTCATACATGCTAAGAAGATTCGACCATTCTTTGAGCATTTATCTGCAGCATTCTCTTCAATCGCAGCTCGACCGGAGGATATTGTTCACGAAAAACTAGCGGATTACTATGAAATGATTTTTCGTATTCTTGGTCAATCGATTAATGACAAAGAAATCAAAGTAAGATAGATATTTATTCATGACAATCGAGATTCGCATCTCCGTGTATAGGAACTCCTTTCGGTTTATTTGGAGAATATGTCTCATGAATCCTCGTTGATTCGTCGTTCATCAGCGGCATGTCTTATCGTCATTTGTCGTTACGCTCGTTATCCAATGGCAGTCGCTCGTTATCTAATGACGTACGCAATCGGTACGTATTTTTTGTCTCATTTTCCATATTGATAACAGCACAAAATCTCCCTCTAGATCAATTACTTGAACATCATAATCAAACTGACAGCACTCGTTTAATCAATGGTTATCTTGTTCTAATAAAAAACCTGGTACAACTACTCGGATTGAACATTGAAGAATTTGTTTCATCGTCAAAAAATATTCAACAACCATTGAATACGAGCAAGGGTCTTGATACGAACGAACAACATCTACCAATCAATATTCGACAACTCATCGAAGTAAGAAATCTTTCTCTTCATAATCTGATACAAATCTTATTTTGATTTCCGTTCTTTTAGTGTATCGACATGATATGTTATCTCTGTTTACAGCATACAGATCACAATGTTGTATCGAGTTCATTGGAAACACTTGAGGTTTTACTTAAATATTCGACTTTATTCGATTTGGATCAATTGTTGATATCGACTGAGAATCGATTAATAGAAGAAACGCGTGTTTATCAAGTACTAAAGTCATGTAAGTATTTCTTAGTATGGAAGGATCAAATTTCCATGTAAATATATAGTTTATCCAACCTATCGACGTTCTTTGATTGATATCAATGATACTTCATTGGACTTGACAAATAAAAGTACCGAAGAGCTAGATTCAACGTCGACGATTAATAATGAAAAGCGCACGTCAGCAGCTAAACTTGCCGAACAACTCATTTCAAAGTAAATAAAAGCAAACGAATGTTTCTCAATCGAAATCTTTCTTTGCTTTTCTAAGGTATATTCTCAATTTGGATGGAACAATCAAAAGCGATGATGAATCACGTGTTAGTATCAAATGTACCACACTGACATGTCTTTCATATCTATCAACCATTGATCCATTTGCATTTTTCGATTCATTTGATTATCCAACTGAAGGTACATTCTCATCGAAACGAAAACCTGTATACTATTTGCTTCTACGTTTAGTTATAATTTATCTATTATTTTTACGCGAACATGGCGATCCTCATCTGCGTGGTGCATGCGCTAATCTACTTGCCAAATTAATTCAAACAACAGTTCGTCTTTTGACTATATCTCCACCAATCTCCTCGTTAACTAATTCGTTTAACAACTCCTTCATAAATCAATGTTCTCTCATTTCCAATGATTCGCAAGAAAGTTCACGTTTAGGTTCGAATCAATCTCCATTTCCTTTTCTTTTCATGGATTGCACTTCTTTTCCTCTATTCAATAGATATTCAATTAGGCATTCTAGCCGAATTACTGTCAACATTTCGATTATGCTTGAACGACACCAATGCACGTGTTATTCACGTGGCGCTGAATGCTCTACGCACATTATTACCCGTTTTATTAACGAATAGTCATGCATTAACAATCATCGCAACTGATTTATTAGAAGATGCAATTCAACATACGTCGAGTACATACGTTCTCGCTAAGGTACCATTGAATTGATGAACAATAGAACGATGAGTGGTTTGTTCTTTTGAAATAGGTGTCTTTAGCTCAACTTATTGGGGATATCGATTTTCGGATTTTAACCTATCTTGAACAACAACAACAATCGAAGAAAACCGTATGTTTTTGCTGTTGACGAATTGAGTATCGAGAGAGACAGAGAGTAACATATCAATTTTTAGAATCGCTCATGGTTGGATCGATGTATGGACACTATCTTTATATTTCTTGCTGACGAAGACACACGTGTTCGACAAGTAGCAGCCACTACCTACGCCAAGTAAGTACTTTCATACAAATCCTCATTACAATCATTTCTATATCCCATCACAATTAGATTTGTCGATCAAAGCTCTTTTTTACCATGTCAATGGCCAATACATTACTTATACAAATGGGTTAACTCTTCATGTCAATGGATTTACACAGTTCATCATTCATTGCAGCAATCAAATCCGTCTGTTATTATATCGCATACCGAAAGTCAATGCGAAGCGATATCATGTTTGTCGACGTTGATATTCGATCGTTTAGCCCAATCCTCAACTCGAATCCAAATTGTTTGTTGATTTTCTTCGGTTGTATAAGCACTGATCGCTTTTCTTTCAGGTCGGATGTTTAGAAGGTATATCTGCGCTTGTGAATGCTCTGACACCTGAAACAGTCCGATCATTCTTCCATAATCAATATGATGAACTTCGTTTATTGATACATTTCTTTAAACATCCATTTATTCTACACGATCTTAACAATCTACAACTTTTATTCGATATTCTCAAAGGACTTTTCACAAGTAAAACATTTGTTATCGATCAAGCTCATTTAGAAATTTTGCTTTTCTAGATCTATCAAACTCAACAATTGAATTCGTCGACATGCAATCAGCAGAAAAAGTTTTTCATTTCCTAATCAAGTAAGATTCTTCCAAATCGATTTCGCCTGACCATCCATTTTTCTTTAGAATTCTCTCAATCTTCGCCTATGTTGTCGAAGATACAACACCACCCATACCAACATCATCGAAAATCAACTTTCCTCAATTACCCGCGTCACCGCAACAATTGAAAAAGCGTTTCGAAAGTAATGATTCGAACAAAAACGAAAAAGACATCATCCATTCCGAAACTTCAACTACACTAACATCGAGTAAAGATTCCACACTGATCTCGAGTGCCATTAGTACTGATAAAGACAAAAAAGTCAATCGGACACAACTAGGCGCTTTTGGAAATAATCCATCAATGATGAGATTATTCGATCTCATACGACAATCTTATCAAACGCATCGAAGTTTAATCAGTTCAACTGAAACCGATCGCTTCGGTCAATTACTCGCAACGACATTAATTTGCGTGAAATCAGTTTTGAATCTTGTCTCGATTCAAGACATTCTGAAACATCTGGAAGAAACATTAGGCTATCTAAAATCAACGTTCAATGTCGACAAAATCAATACCATTCAATGCACACAAGAAGTAAGTGTTCGACGACGAAAATCTTCATATATACTTGGCTCTTTTTCGATATTAGTTTTTGCAAAATCTGCATCAACTTGCCACTAGTTCAAGTCCATCTGCTGAAACAAAGTCCTCCAATCCATTTTCGCAAAATTCATCAAACAATTCTCTAACAAATATTCATACGATTACCATTCGACATCCCATGATGTATCTATTCGGATCACGACATTCATCAAGTGTAACCAGTGACCAATCAGTCGAAAACACAGTGATTCGAGAGTAAGGGTTCAGTAGTTAGTTCTTTCGGTAATAGTCTCATTTTCTATTAGATTTTATCTAACTGTGAAGCAACGAAAAACAATCGATCATCTGAAACGTCCACCGAATCGAACTGAGCGCAGCAAAATTGGAAATTACATTCGTCTTTTCGAAGGCATCGTTATTCTCAGTCTGAAGAAATATGTCAATTCAAACGAAACAGAATTTCAAGCAGCCGTTCTCGATTTACTCGTTCAGTTACTTCTCCTTCGCGTGAATTACAGTCTGTTAGATGCTGACGAGGTTTGATTTTCATTCTGAATCTTCAATTTTCTTTTAATCTTTTTCTATAAGCATTTTCTCACACACATAACTAATCAACTTGAAATGATTGAAGAAACCATTGCCGGTTATGACGTCTCATCACATTTCATCTATCGTATTGCTGAATTTTTAATGATGTTATCCCATGATACACTTCATTCGAAACAAGTGATCAAAGTACAGGATTTAATCAAACATTGCGATTTGTTATTAGCTAGTGGACACGAACCGGAAACTCATGGTAAGTCGAAGCGCTCAACTTGCGATTTTTCAATTGAAAAGGTTCGTTGTTTAGCTTTAGCAGCATTGGAACCTGTTGTCTACGATCTATTTCTCGTTCGCTTGAAAACTGATAATAAGGAATTGGAAGCGCAACGAATGGTCATTGTTCAAATCTTGTTGAAACTTATTCGATACAATAAAGTAATTTATGATTAGATCGAACGATCGCCAATAATTCTTCATGTAGGCTCTACAATTATTAACAGTTATTCTCGACAGCGTTCGAAGCGAAGTTGATAAATGGAAACGACTTTCCAGACAAATTATGGATATTTTACTCGTGCATTTACAATCGAATATCTCGAACAGTTCGTCAAAGGTTTATCTCGAGATTCGATTTCTAAAGTGTCGATATTATTGTTGACTTTACATTGTAGACACATCCTTTATTGGATATCTATTCAACGCAATTGACATTGTTCGATGTGGTGTCATCAGTGGCATTGCGTCCAATCGATCCATTTGTTACCGCTTTTCAAACATTAGCAAATCGAACCGTTCGTTCGAATTATTTTTCGATGGAGAATATTCTCGAATCTTCTCATTCTAGGATGTTGATCGGCACACCATTAATCGGTGGTTGATGAGCATCAATGTTGTCCTTCGATGTCTGATACAAAATTCGACAGAAGATGCCATGTTGGTACGCTGGAAAGATGCCTTATCATCGAATAGTTCAGCGCGTAATGAAAGTTTCAGTTCGTAAGTATTGAACGCTTTCATAGGATAAGAATGATGAAAGGATATCGTTTAGAGCATTGCTTCGCATTTTGCACGATGTGGTCTTACGTTTGCTGACGAATACACGACAATCACGAGGAGAGATCGATAGGACATTGGTCGTTCTCACATCGGATTATCTTTATTTACTGATGTATATCGTTGAAAACGGTATGAAATCTAACTTTCCAGAGAGAAAAATTGTTGTTTGTTTTTTTCAGCAAAACTATTTCGTACGATTGTCAATGATTTTCGCCAATTGTTAATTCACGATGAAACTGATGAAACCGTCCATCGGCTTGATTCATTCTCTTACCTAGCGATCCTAAGTGAATATTTCAAACTTCTTTCCTCATTCTACATTCCTCTATTACTTCAATGGACACATATACTCAATATTCTCGATTATACTCAAGAAGCTTGGTGGTCATCTATGGTATCAATTCCAACACCATCATCTCTAATTACACATTTATCCATCACAGGTCAGTTACAATCCTATTGTGACTTGATCTGTCGTCATGAACTATACGTCGAACATTTAACATCGATCATCACTCACCGTCATCTTTTATTCCTATTATTTGAACAAAGCGATACATGTACACATGTACATAATCTTTTCGGATTGATTCATCGTACATCCGTCGCTAGTCATTTGTTCGTTGAATCAATTTATACCAATTGGGATCATCTATTGAAGAGAAATCAACTTCTGTTAGCAATGAAAATTCTCCGAATCTTAGAAGGCATTCATTTGGATGAAAGTGGTCTTTTATTAGTTCTATTAATCGAACAATTCTTAACTTTACCGTACATATCTGTGTTACGTTTAGCAGAACTAATTGTTTGTCGACGGATTGAAATGATGTTAACATTTGATGAACAAACGCTAAATCGACAACTGATACCAAAAAATTTACCACTAATCCTGCAAGCACTAGTACCTCCGCAAGATAGTAATCAGCACGATGTAAAATCCAATGAACATCTTTGGGCGCTTATACAGCGTCTAGTTGGGAAAGTCAATTACACACCAACGATTTCCATGGATGTTGTCAAACCAGAATTTAAGAACATCAATAGTAATGATGAGGACTTTATTCTTAACTGGATACGGAAAGTACACTGCCCGTTGGATATAACACCGAAAATCTATGCACAAATGCTGAAGAATGTTGTCTATAGAAAGTTATTACCCTTCATGATGTCACCGGTGAGTGCTGAAACGTCGATTTGCAGGTTTTTATTTGCTCTTATATCATCTAGGACTTTGCGTGGTTGTCGATGCCATATTGTCTGGTTCTGGGAACGGGTATTCCGTCGTTATGGCGCGCTTCGACAAGTGCATTGATAAAGAAGATCAATGATTTATGCTTTTCTTTGCCTGCTCAACGATTGATACCCAGTGAAGTGAATTTGAACGACGAAGAGTCAACTCCGGACTCGATGTATATCAAAAGTCTAGTTGCATGTTCTGAAAATCAACCGTATTTAACTGCTCTCGTTGACGCAATTCATGTTTATTTCGAAACTATTGAAAGTCGTCCGGAATTGACCAGTCAGTTTTCATCCGGTGATACTCGTGACCTCCTACGCTTTCTTATATTTATTTCGGAAGTCATTTACATAAAGATTTCTCAGAAGAAATCATTCCTCAATTGGAATTTAATCGAAAGCTTCTTTCGCTGTCTGACAAAAACCATTCATCATCCCAATTCCATAATCTATCAATTACTCTGTGCTACCGATCAAATTATATCTTGCTGTACTCTAGCTAAAACGATCCTTTCGATCTTTGTATATCTCTATCAACGACATGGATTAATTCTGACAATAAAACGAACGAATCAAGTATGTCAATCATATGTAAATCTAATCGAACCTGATAACCGACCTTATACACATCTACTACTCCTATCATTCAATGATCTGGACTGTCTCTACAGATTAATTAAACAGCTTCATTTCATTCCGCATTTCTTTCGAAATTATCTTCGCACAATCGCAATTTTACTGTTTCGTTTACCAATATTCAATTCGTTCATTCGTATTCCCGCACAATTTTGGAAAGAACATTACCACGACACGAATAAACTGCAGTTCAGTGCGAATGATTACTGTTTATCATCATTTCCAGTAGACTTACTACAACATTCGGACGTCATGGCAGATTATATCGAACGAATATCGTTGATTGGATGGTTATCGAGGACACAATTTCAAGAAATTTGGGTCACGTTCTTGGCTGCGATTAATCCCCCAAGTCAAAATACTGATGAAAACGAACACATGGGCAATCATCTATCGAAAGAAGAAATTCTCGAAACAAATGCAACACAATGGTAATGAAAATCGATTCGAAAAGCTTTCTCATGATGTTTGTTTGTTGTAGTGTTTGGGTTCGTGGTGTAACAACATTCCTACTAAATGCACTTCGTGTGAATTGCACCGGTAATCCCGCTGATATGAATTTCGAACATCGTTCACGCAATAAGCTCATCCAATTTCTCGTAAGCAATATCGGTACTCAGTATATTCAAACACGGTCAACATTAGAAGCAACATCAAACGATCTACTTACAAATATCGAACGCTTGGGTACACATGACTTATTATCCTATGAACAACTTTCATATGACACGATCTTAGCGTCAATACAAAGCAACAATGCAGCGCCATTACCAGTCAATGTAAGTTTGAACTTCGTATCGGAACTGATTCAGATTGTTAGTTTTCATTTTTAGAGTTTATTTGATCGCTTATTTTCTCGGCAGGGTCTTGATCTAACCTCATCTTTGCAAATTCTCATTGAAATCTATGTGCGCTGGTTAACAACCAATTCTTCGAATTTATGTTTGCAATTGAAATACGAGCTGATTCGTTCATTTATCTATCTCTCGGACTTATTCACATCGGCTCAGCAACTAACAAATCTTTATGATATTTGCGAGGAATATTACCGTACATGGATCGAGGAGGACGATCTGATGATATCGTTGGTCAGTTATGGTGTGTGTAAATCAGGTATCCTCCTTGGACAAACAACAAAAGATGCCAACGAGTTGTATCTACGTTTAATCGAACGTAGTTTCAAATTTCTATCGAAAACCAATGCATATGCATCGTGTTTATTCTTATTGGAAAGTCATGAAGATGATTTAAATAAATCGTTGATACCTGTTCTTAATCAAGAATTAACCAATGATATACAAAACAGTTCGTTTAAAATCAATTTAGATGTACGATTGAATAGTTTCATTCTTGCCAATTTATTCTATTTAATTGAAAACGGACAAACAAATTCGTTTGAGATTTTATCATCACTTTTCAAAGACGATGTCTTGGATACGAACGACAATTTAACTCAACATATTATTTCCATTGGTCTCGAGCGTGTGTTGCTTCTTGGCCAATATCCGAAGAATGATATCTGGCGTTTATATAAACGTTCAATGACAACGCTACGACAATCGAATTGGTTAAATCCTGATCATTTAGTTCTAATTCTTGCACGCATTTACACCTACTTATCCACATTGACTGACAATTCGAATGCATCAGCGAACGAAAGTATTCACGAGGATCAAGAAATGATCGATGGATCATCGGTTTCTTCCTCATCAGATAATATTGTCATAGAACTTGTCGGAGAGTTGTACGAGCGCATTAAACAATCAAGTACATTACCATACGAAGCAATACTTCTTCTACGTCCATTGCCGTCATTACTTGCACACATTGGCCTATCGGATCGTCTTATGAATAAAGTTGTGGTCGAATTTGCAGCATCTACACAACAGTTGTATCCTCAGATACTCGCCTATACGGTTTTTGCTGTGTTTCGAACTCTGATCAATGCGCACTATACAGCAAAGGTGAATGAATGGACTTTATTGTCAATGTCCAGTGTTGCACAGAGAAAACCGATACGCATGGCCATTTGGGGGTTGACTTGTCTTATGCTGAGTGCGTCTCCATCCCAAACAACTGCGGAAGCATTGTAAGTCGACGGATTTGACAAAGTTTTGCTTCCAAGTACATGATTTTCTCATTTAGATTTCCGTTGGCATTGTCACGTTTCAGTGCACGTTTCGAAGAATTGGACAATCGTTTATTTTTTCTAGCTAGCCAAGAATATTATAACCAGGTAAATTCAAAATGTGAGTAAATCAAAGAATAAGTGTATGCATTTTAGTTAACTAATGTCGAGCAACGCCGTCAATTTGAACAAGCATTTACCAATGAATCAAATACCGAAAAATTATACACTGATTTACTTGCACATCTTCGAGATACGATCTCATCATCGTCGTAATCCTTCCTAATCATTTCCGTCCTAATTTCATTCCGGTGATTTCTACATTTACAAAATAATCAATATTTATTAGACGGCAAATCTTTCTTTCTTTCTTCTTTTCGTTTGTCTATACAACTGTTCCCGCTACATTTCTTTTGTGTGTCTGTGTGTATTACCATTCTTCATCTGCGATTTATATTTTCTGTTCGATTGGTAGGTCAACAGTGATTGCACGTCGTGTATGCTTATATAAACACATTTATATCCTTTTTTTTCCTTTACTATTGTTGTTGTTGTTGTTATTATTATTACTATTAATGTTTATTATCTGTTATGTAAAGCAAGGCAGTCATTCCGTCGATTAAAAAGACCATTCTTGATTCGAAAGTCCATTTTTATTTTTGATTGATACTCTGTCAAAACTCTGAATCGTCTCATGATAGGATTATTCGAAAAGATGGGAACGAATAGATCTATATATGCTATTTATTCGTTACAGACACGATAGAATGAAATAGAAAGTTAAAATAGGATATACATAGTGTTTATACATTGTCGCAACCGAACTTTGATAGGTAAATTTGATCAAATCTTTGACGGTAAGTTCATTTGCATGACTATTACATTCATTGATGTTACATGCAAAATATAAATAATCGTGTGTGAAATTTACTGGATCGGGTGAAATTCGATACTGACCGAAGATAATTTTTGGTTCGCTGAAAATTAGACATTCTCGAATATTCACTAGCTGGAACGTTTCAGTGTCGAGTGCTTGTGTAAAGTCGCAAACGCCACTTTGACAGTCAACTGGTTCATCGAGCGAGTAACAGTGGGTGACATTCGATTCAGGTTTATCATTATAAATCAATGGTGATAAAGAATCAAACAATGTTTGATAATCTTGATTGATTATACCTTGAAGTTTATTTTGAACATAATTCCATTCACATTGATCACCATAGGAGCATTTGTATGCCAGCGAATATGCAATTAACTTTTCAGCAAAATAGAAATCGACTAGATCTATTGAGTAGCTATCAATAGGTTCTTCGTTGATGATTAAACTGATGGTGTTTTGTGGGAAAGTAAATACCGTGTAATTTAAGCTAAGTTCTATTTTAACATCAATTTCACACGCGTTTGTTGTTGACTCCTGTCGGCAATTTGTCGGTATGAGCATAGGAGCATCGAAAGGTATAGTAAATTCACAATCGAATATGCATAAATGCTCTTCCGCTTGTCGATGGTTTGATTTTGAAGATGAAAACTTATCAATTGACCATTTTGCATAACTAAATTCTTGTGTCCAAAAAAGAATGAACGCGATTAGAATACAACATAGATGTGTCCACATTCTATAAATCTTCTTTTTATACAACCGAGTAGTTCGTGAATTATATAGATGATCAAACTATTTCAAGTGACCTATTAATTTATCACAGCAAGTGCTACTGTAAAGTATCAATAAAAAACCGCCATAAAAGGATTTGAGCTGATAGTTAACTGCGATGAAAATTAATCTATTACCTGCTTTTACGATCTTTGTAAGAAGTCTAGGACATGCCTGGGACAGTAATCAATAAGTGTTCTTATCACACAATGAGCTTTTTGACAATTATATTGTCAAGTTTTCGTGTTTCCTGGCAAAAATGTGTATTGAAGAAGTTTTCTACAGAGTTTATTTCCAGCAGCATTGAAGCATAGAGTTACTTACTGTATGGTGCTGGTGGATTCATCTCTTGACACTATATTAGCTTCTGAGATTTGAACCGAGAAATGTTGAACATCGAGTCGAGTGTTGGATAACTTTTCTTTAACAAAGCGAGGTATTTATATCACCGCACGGGTACAGAAGGGGAGAAAAATGAAACAAGAATGAACAGGGGAAAATTGACGTCATGCGGCAATGCATGCACATCGTTTGTACAACTTGAAGGCGACATGGATCAGTAAGGAAAACAAGGTCATATTACTTTTCTCGTCTTTTAACTGAAGGAAGGCATAGCGCGCATTCAAACGTATTTCTATTGAAAAAACAGATTGACGAACTAATCAACAATTACTGCATGCTATTTTTTGTATTGCAGTAATGAGCCATGTTCGCAATTCGCTTATAAGTCCTCCAACAGAAAAACTATACCATAAGATAGAGAGAGAGAGAGTATATTGGCACACTCGGGTTATCTCTTTCTTCAACTATGGAGAAGGTACCGGTCATGGTTGACGCACACACTGGCATATTCTGTTTTATCTTCTACTATGTATGATCTACTCTTTTCCACTTCAAGCAATGGATATACACCAACTAGCTTCAGAAAATATGAAATAATCGTAATTTTTCGTTTCATTCTTACTGATAAGTTGGATTGATCCTTGGACAAAGACCTCTTAATGATCATTGATATTAAAGGAATCAGGTATGCATATCAGAACGATATTTACACTCTTATTTGCCTTAAAACTTAGTTTGAAGATATTTTTGGTATGACTAAAAGAACTAAAATGACTATTTCATATGTTCTGAAGCAAGAGCTGGTGTACATCAATCTTGACTGGTTCCTTCTCTACAGTTGGAGAGAAAGAGATGAGGAGAGATAAACCACGTGTGCCAATATACTATCTCTCGCTCTGTCTTACGGTATAATTTTGCTGTCGAATGACATATAAGTGAATTGTGAACGTGGTTCATTGTTCATGAATCTGTCAGTGAGAAGATATAACGATATTTTCTCTTCTTTTTCTAAAATTCGAATATATTTGATAAAATCGCAAATCAGTGCTGTTTAGCGTATGTGATGAATAAGTAAAACAGATTAGTTTATATGTGTTTCTTTTTTGAAAAGGTCTTGGGAAGAAAATTAGGCTGTTTGATCGAAAGATTTACAAATAAGATGATAGATCAAAACTTCGATGTGTATCAAGAACGACTGCTCAAAAAGCAATAGTGATGTCACTGAATTCTCACTTATTTACAATGAAAAGCAGTACGACAATGTATAATCAAAATCTCCGTGCACAACGAGCTGAAGCATTCGAAATCAAGTACAAGCATCATGTCTACTCAATATTCGAATATCACGTAATTCTATTCATATCGACATTCAGAGTTATGATCGGTAGACTCGTTCGTCAATATTTCGTGATGATCAGTATCTCTCGTCATGGTAAATACTTCTACCTTTATATCACCTATTATTAAGTCTAGTGATAGAAGAACGCATTGCTCGCTGATCAAACGTGTTGTACTATATAAAAAACATTTCATTGACGATTTGCAATAAGTGTGTGATTAATAGGATAAGGACTAATACATGTTGACCGGTTAGTTTTAGTTGCTTGATAAGACTGATGCATTTGACGATAAGTCATGTATTCACATGTCGATCAAGTAGATGCGTTAAACAATGAAACAAAACAAAGTGTTCGATATGCTCGAGAAGAGTATAAAAACTTTACAAGTGTCTGTGGAAAGAATTGAACATTAACATACATCTTATCGAATGTGTCGATATTGACTAATTTAAATGTTTGTACACCGTTTTCGTATTCGTAAGTATTGTTCTTTTTGTTTTAGTAATCATCGCTATTTAATTAGGACAATTTAATTTCTCTAGCTCTCATCTACACCTGTCGACAATTAAAAGGTTAATCAAATGTGAAAAATATCAGTGTTCAGTTTTCATATAATCTTCAAATAAATAGCAATGTCCAAAGTTCTTCGTTTCTTCTTCTTTTTTTCTTCAATCAGACCGAAGGTGTAAATCCTCTTAGTTCGATATAATATCTTTCGAAATTAAAATGGTGAAGAAGAAGAAATAGACAACGATAACGATGAGTGTCTATTTCTTTTGATTACCGATGAAATTATCTAACTTAGAAGTATTGACAGCGCCAAGACGATCGAAAGAAGTTTTTGTTTACACAAGAGAGTGCATTACGACTGACTCGCACGCACACACAAGAAATAAAGAAGACGAAGATTATCATATGAACGACTAGAATGTTTTTCTCCTCTTCGTCTTCCTTATTCAACATAATTATCAT